CGTGCTGCAGGCTGCGGAGCAGCGCGGCTCAAGGGCAAGCGACCCGCCAGCGCCAGCCTGCGGCACTTAGAACCTCCTCACCCAAGCCGCACGCTGCTTCAGAGCCGTTCTGTCAGCCATCCTTTTGGTCCCCGCTGCACAGACTGACACCTGGAATTCGAGGTAATACCAGAACCATGGAAAGATGGAACGGGAAGGGTCAGCGGCACAGTCCTGCCTGGGCGCACACGCGTAGGCTGGTGATGAGGACCCAATCCTGTGTGGGCAACCGCTCTGTATGAACGACCAAGGGGCGATACAGGCGACTGGGAGCGACCCAAACACCACTGCCCTAACGATTTCTTCTTTCAGATGGCAAATCAGGCCACTTAACTACCAAGCTGCTTTTGCTTATATCCCCACGGAGCAGGTACCCAGGTAACCACGGAAACTATGTGTAGATGGGCAGGGAAAGGTAGTAGGATCACACAATCCCAGAGTGGTTTGGGCTGGAAGGGACCTTAATGACCATCTAGTTCCAACCCCCCCGCCATGGGCAGGGACACCTTCCATAGCCCAGGTTGCTCCAAGCCTCATCCAGCCTGGCCTTGGACACTCCCAGGGATGGGGCATCCACAGCTTCTCTGGGCAACCTCTCCCAGTGCTCCCACCCTCTGCAGGAAGAATTCCTTCCTGATGTCCCATCTCCATCTCCCTCTTTCATTTAAACCCGTTACCCCTTGTCCTGTCATTACAGGCCCTTGGGAAAAGTCCCCCCAGGCTTCCTTGCAGCCCCCCAAGGCACTGGAAGGGGCTCTAAGGTCTCCCCGGAGCCTTCCCTTCTCCAGGCTGAACCCCCCAACTCTCCCAGCCTGTCCCCATGGCAGAGGGGCTCCAGCCCTCGGAGCATCTCCGGGGCCTCCTCTGGACTCGCTCCAACCGGTCTGTATCCTTCTGATGTTGGGGGCTCCACAGCTGGACGCAGCACTCCAGGGGGGTCTCCCCAGAGCAGAGCAGAGGGGAGAATCCCCTCCCTCGCCCTCCTGGCCACACTTCTCCTGATCCAGCCCAGGATCTGGGTGGCTTTCGATTAGGATTCAAGGTTCCGTTTTCAAGAAGCCAGTTTCACCCATGAAGGACGCTTATGTGCATTATCAAGTCTGGATCTGTGTTTCAGTGATGTCCACAATAAAAACGGCAGGAAGCATTAGCTCGGTGGGACACAGAAGCGCCCCAGCGCTCCCCCGAGTCACACGGACCAGAGCTGACCTACCGGCAAACAACACAGGCTAATCCCATTTCCATGGCGAAGTCGTCAGCGCTCGTCTCCTCGAAGCTGGACAAGTCGGGCATGGATAAATCCTTGCTCGTCTGAACAGTAATGGGAGAGGAGCGAGCCTCTTGCTTCTCCAGTCTGGGCTTCCGCGGTGTATCAGCTGCCTCAGCCGGATCCGTTTTCACCTGTGACACACACCACGCCGCGAGGCGGAGAGGGAACGGGCGTCACCGAACTGGGAACTGACGGGGACAGCGAGGCTAGCAGTGCAAGGTGTGCTTTGCACACACGTGTCTTCTCCTTAGACACCCCTTTTCTTCAAAATACTTATGTCACGCACCCCAAAATCCTTGAAAAAGCTTTGGGAACCCCCCATTTCAGCTTGTTACGCACCAGCAACCTCTTGGGATGAGGGTGTTTAAAACACAGCAGGGTGTGGGTTGGAAGGGACCTTCAAGGTCACCTCATCCAGCCCCCGTAGGGAAGACACCTCCTGAAGAGCTTTAACAGGGCCATTTGGGGGTTGCAGTCGGACTGGGGGCGCAGCTGACAGGCTGTGCCCCATCAGATGGGCTGGCTGACGCCGAGGATCACTTACTTTATCGGCAGATCTCTTCTCCGTCTCTTTTTTCACCTTCTCTGACGCAGAGGGCTTGCCGTTGCTGTTGCCCGAAGGCAAACTAGAGGCAGCTTTAGGCTCTTGCTTGCTGGCAAGAGGTTTGGTAACGGAGACTTTGGGCTGCTCCACTTCCTAAAAACAGGAAGAGAAGTTGCAGGCAAACTTCACACTTGTCCCGCTTCCTGGTTTGCTGTTAGTTTTAGGCAAACGTGGTACAGCACTGACCACCCATCTAGACACTTCTTGCTTAAAAACATTCCCTAAGTATTTTCACACCACGTCAACAAATTCATAGAATCACAGAATGGTTTGGGTTGGAAGGGACCTTAAAGATCATCTAGTTCCAACCCCCCTGCCATGGGCAGGGACACCTTGCACTAGACCAGGTTGCTCAAAGCCACATCCAGCCTGGCCTTGAAGACATCCAGGGATGGGGCATCCACAGCTTCTCTGGGCAACCTGTTCTAGTGCTTCACCACCCTCTCTGTGAAGAATTTCTTCCTGATACCTAATCTAAATTAGTGTGTTTAAGCTGCGTTCAATTATTAAAACCTCCCTGTATCACTCCCCTTCCAGAGGAGAAGGTGCTCCTTCGCCAAGTACAGACCCTATTTGGAACATTAATTGAAAAGGAAAACCTTCCTGCTGTTAACATTCAGAGAGATAACGAACACGCGTTTTCAGACAGCCCGGGGACAAAGCTCAGAAGGACCAAGTGACACCTGGTGTCCCCAGATCAACACCTTGTTCCCTCGCAGAGACACATCCCAAGCCCCACTTAATCCCCGTCCACGTTCCCCGACACATCAACGTGTTTAGACACACCGGAGAGAGGGGAACCAAACATTCCTTCCTGTCCCCAGCCCCAGCCAACCTGCTATTAGAACTGGCGGCACAAGCCCCTCTGCACTATTATTCGTCTCCCTGCTGCTTCTTTTAAACTGCCAACCAGTGCTTTGAGCGCTGACGCAGCGGGCTCCGACACCTCGGAGAGCTGCGCTGGAGGGAAGCGCAGTTCAGGTTGCAGGGAGCTACCAGTCGGAACGGAAGGGAGCTCCACCACCACGCGCAAGCATCAGGCAGCTGCAGCAGTGCCTTTCAGCTATTCAGAACCACGTACGGGGAGATGGAATACTGCGGCTGCATCCGCGCGCAGAGCGTCAGCGGAATGTACCAGTCGGACTGGTAGGCACCTCGGGGAGACCACCACCTCCTTATCCCCACGGCAACAGGCAGCACCCTGAGGACGGCCCTGCCTGGCTATTCCCACATGCTAATCTCACTCATTCTGTCTAGCAGGCGTTCAGCGATTTTCAGTGGCTGAAAAGTCATGTTTGTCCATTGGATGGAGATGGTTTCCGCCTGCAAATCATGGAATCCCAGGGTGTTTTGGGTGGGAAGGGACTTCACACCCCCCCAGCCCCACCCCCTGCCATGGACAGGGACACCTTCCATAGCCCAGGGTGCTCCAAGCCTCATCCAGCCTGGCCTTGGACACTCCCAGGGATGGGGCATCCACAGCTTCTCTGGGCAACCTCTCCCAGTGCTCCCACCCTCTGCGGGAAGAATTCCTTCCTGATGTCCCATCTCCATCTCCCTCTTTCATTTAAACCCGTTACCCCTTGTCCTGTCACTCCCTGCCCTTGGGAAAAGTCCCCCCCAGCTTCCTTGTAGCCCCCCAGGCACTGGAAGGGGCTCTGAGGTCTCCCCGGAGCTTCCCTTCTCCAGGCTGAACCCCCCAACTCCCCCAGCCTGTCCCCATGGCAGAGGGGCTCCAGCCCTCGGACCATCTCTGTGGCCTCCTCTGGACTCACTCCAAAAAAAAAAAAAAAATCCAAGGGGATTTTTTTTCCATTAACTTCAATTAATCAAACAGATTATGTTAGATACGAGGGGATTGACACATATGAACATTCCATAATTCCTTTTTCTTTTTCCTTCATTCCTTAACTTCTCTCACGTTTTGAGCTACAGAAGACAAACCAGGAAGAGCAGGAACTTTGGGAAGGCACATGGGAACGGCCCACGCTCGCCAGTACCTTCTGCGACGGACGATAGCTGGAGTCGCTTCCCCTGGCCAGGGACTCATCCAGCAGCGCTTTCAGCTTTTCAGCAGAGTCCTTGCTCTTTGAATGCAGGAAGCCCAGGGCTTTCAGAAAGATGGGATCAAGCTCCAAGTTCACTGTAGAAGCCATAGCGGTGTCTGTGCAGAAAGAAAGGAAAAAAGAAAGTAAGGAAAAAACCCCACAAAACAAAAAAGAAAACCCCCAAACAACACCACCAAAAACCCACCCAACGACCCCAAACCCAGTAACTCTATTCATACGGAGCACAACTCAAATGGCACGAGGCCAACCATCTCACAGAAGATTCCGGGTTGTTTTGCAGAATGAAGTTCCACTGAATTGCAGCACGGATGACCCGGGAATTAACAATCGTCGTTAGGAGACGAGCGATTGCGAACTTGAGTCCCAGAACCTGCCTTTCCCTCTGACGTGACGTCAGACTCCCTCTTTGGCACAGCTCATGTTCAGAAACTAAACTCAGACATACATAAAGGGAGCAAACGTTCCCTATTCCTGATATTCCATACCTACAGAGTGTGGGAAAGCATGCAGAACAAGAGTACAGGCCAAGACGAGCGAGTACGGCCCTTCTCACGCCGTCTGCACATGCCGCAACTTCGGCTCCTTCCTCGTTCAGGAGTAACTGAAGCGAAGTCTCTCGCTTGCAGGAACACTAACTTCTGAAAATAAGAACTCACTGCAGCACGCAGAGCACGAGACAGAGCAGCACGTACCTGCCCACAGAACATCCGAACTAATCCACCGGGCGCTTTCAGACTGGGCTGACACGGAGAGCAACCCTGTAGCTGCGACTACGACCTACCCAAGTCCCCTTCCCACAGCCCCAGTTTTCCTGTCAAGCAGCCACTACCCACAGCTCCAAGATGCCAGCGGCAGCGTGACCGGGAGGAAGCGAGAAGGAGGGTAGCACGAGTCTAAAGAAGGTGCCTGCTTCACAGCAACACTTCCCTGCACCCCCGAGCCTTCTCCCCCAGTTTCTTTACCAAAAGGTCCGAGGAACTGCGCTTACATCAGACGTTATCCTTACAGAGAGGACAGCTCTCCAGCTCAACTGACGGTTACTCCTTCAAGAGTAGCAGGAGCAGGGAAGTTTGCTGCTCCTTCCGCAGCGAACAAGACGTTGCGTCGCTGATAATCCCTTCAAATCTCCTTTGAAACACATCAGGAGGTTGGATTTCTACCCCAGGAATCTAGAAGACGTTCTCGAGAAGGCTTTCATCAGCGCTGCTCAAAAGCACGGCCCGGACAGCTTTTTCAGCTGGAGCTGTCAAGGTTTTGTCTGATGAATCCCTTTTGATGTTCAAGGCAGCGAACTCCTACCCCTCCGGCCAAGACAGCAGTGCGGGCAGCCCGCTCCCGCAGCACCGGCCTCCGGGAACCTTCACCTCACCTGCGCTTCCGCGAGGCACCGGCACATCGCTGGGCTGAGCTCAAGGAGCTCCACACGCCGGGCACTTCACAGGGAATTATCAACAGACCCGGCAGAGTTCAGAATCCTCTGCAAGGGGCTCTTCCCGCGTCCTTCATCTGTGCTGCTTGCGAAACCGCTTTCTGGTGGGCACAGGACTTCCGCCCGCGGCTGCGACACACCAGCTACTCCGCTTTTTCACCCGTCAGATGGTGCGGTGCGGTCTCTTCCTGACGTCTGCAGCATGAATTCCATGGGCGTGGGAAGCACGGACCCTCTTCTTTCATGCCTCTACCCCGATAAATTCTCAGGCTGCTCCCGAGCTCTGTCCGTGGGCTCCCCCTGCCTTGGCTGTGTTCTGTGACTGCGCCTCCCGAGCTTCCGCAGCGCAGACCCTGAAATGAGGACACTGCTAAACCCTCGCTGAATGAAAATGGCACAATTAAACCTCCAATTTCAGAAATTTGGAATAGTTGTCTGTAAAAAACCAAACCAAACACCACCAAAAACCCCTTCAAGTTCTTTTTGGAGGCTCCTTCCAGGCACACGCTTGCGTCGGTAAGGAATGGGGCGCCCCAACCCTCAGCAGCAGCCGGCTCAGGACGCCTGGAGTATTCAGAGAACAAGGGTAAGCGTACGAGTTTGTCCCCAGATTTATTTCTGGCTCGAGCTCTCGAGCTTTACAGAGACATCTCTTGCCAGGGAACTGTTAAAATCCCATTTTCAAAAGGGTTGTCTGTATTTATTCTTCTATTTGCGTACGAAGTCGCAGCAGTTCTTTCTCTGTTCTCAAGGTAAACCGTAACGTCGCAGGTTGTAACTAGCACACCTGAGAATTGCTCGTGACAAGGGGAGAACCGGCTTAGTAAACAGTTCAAGCATGCTCAGCTTGGGCCCACAATTTCAAATTAAAAATGACGACCCTCTTGCATCCCAGCATTAACCATCAGCCCAGCCCCAGAAGCACATTTCTCGGCTTAGGTCCCTGCTTGACACTGCCTCAGCGGGGTGTAAGAGCTGCTTGCCGATGGACAGACAAGACCACACGTAAGCTAACAAAGCTCTGAGTATGGGAGACAATAGCAAAAATCCTACAGTGGACAATCAGGGAGTGCTTTAAATCCCCGTGGGGGGAAAAGTGTTAATTAGTGAGTTGTTATTCTTCAAATGTCTACGAATTTTTCAAGTCTTGAACATACTGTTGTCTTTTGCCAAGCACACACGAGCCTCTTGAGCACCCTACAGAACACGTGGTCTTCCAGTTTAAGAGCCCTGTGAGATTTCCAGAGTGTAAGAGCCCCTTTCTGTCCATCAATCTGCCAGCTGTGACTGTGCATGCCTAGGCAGGTTTACCTTGTTCTTCGTCACCTGCAGTTACATGGATCCACTGGCCCTGCATTTTCAGATCCGGTCACATTTTCATCCGTTTCTGAGGTCTTATTGCAATTATTTTCTGAGAGAGGTGCACAATTGAAGATCTTTCCCCAAGAAAGCGCATGCCTTCCGTTTGTACTGCAGTGCTGTTATTCTTTACAACTCAGCAGTGCTTTCCTTCACGGACACTGATGATTATGAGGACTCTGGCTCACATACCCTTTTCAGCTCCCTTCAATACCTGCAGCAGTTCACGTAAACCCCAGTAGCAAGAATCAGCAGCACACAATTCCTTCCAGAGCACTGCACTGGCTTCATCCATAATTAATGTCACTTACCACCAACATATCAATTCACCTCCCCCCGTCCCCTCGGATTCTTCTGTTCCTCTGAACCTGCCCTCCTCCTGACTGACCTACAAACTGTGACAGTGGCAGATTCTGTTTATTCACCAATAACGCCTTCTCCAGATCACTTCCAGCTACAGTGTTAAATCTTAATACAGGAGCAAGTTTTAGGAGCAGGAAAAACTGAACTGCTGTTTTCACTTCTTGTTTTGGTACCTTGATCAGGACTTGATTCCTGACACCGTAATTTCCCAGTTACCTCCCATGAGGGATACTTCAAAACTCACACTTCAGTAGCCTGGACAACTGCATTAATCAGTTCTTATTTATCTCACGTCTTCTCCACAGAATTTTAGAAGACCGGAGGGAAATCTCCTGCTACGGCATTGCTAGCACCAGCATCCTTCACTTCACGCCCTGCTCTACAGCCTGTTCCGCGCCGTACTCTCAAACTAGCACTTCAGACCTCGTGACAGGAACCAGTTCACCCCAAACAGCCAAGATCCCACTACTGCCCTGCGCCTGCTGCTCTCTGCTCCTCACAAACAGCACGTGTTTCAGATCCAGGGAACCACCGTGTTTGAAGGAAGCCCAAGGAGCCACCCTGTGCAACCTCCTGCCCAAGTCAACACCCCGTAGGGACCAGCTGGCCCGGATCCTCACCCAGCTGGATCGTGGAAACCTCCAAAGACGGGAATGTGACAAACCTTCTGGGCAACCTGTCCCAAGGCCCAACTGTCCTCGTTTCCTTACTTGGAGTTGGAAGTTCCAGCTTGTGCTGTCTCCCTCTTCTTTGTAATCTCCTCTGTGGTACGTAAAGGCTCGTGTCAGGTCCCCCGCACCCACAGCAGCGACACCCAACACCCGCCCCTTGTCTTCAGACCTAGTTATTTTGTCACGGAGGACAAGCCCATGGTCAGGGATGGTCTATCCGCGGTAGGTCTGAAGCTGGCTATTCCGAGACACCTCCTCCTTACGCCTACAAATGGCTTCCTCCATGACCCTTCCACAGGTGGAAGGCGCGAGGCTGACCATCCCGTAGTTCTCTGGACTGTCCTCCTTGCTCTTTCGGAAGATGAACGCGCCGTGTGCCTTTATCCAGTCTTTGGGAATCTCCCCCGACCTCATGTCCGTTCAAAGATGACAGAGCAGCTTTGTGAAGGCACTGTCAGCTCCCAGCCCCGTGAGTGCAGTCCACCTGCGCCCATGTTCTC